TCCTTCTGTCTCAGAGGAAGCCCTACCACCTGCTGCCCTCTGCTGTTCAAATAAAACCAGTTCCTGCGAAGTGCTTTCTACAGCCTATGCCTGCCTCCTCCTCTTAGACTTTGCCTCCATTTGCTTCTGTGTCTCCCGGAGAGAATATGTGCATTTTACATGAACAGCATCATGTTTACTTCATGACTGCTTCTATTTCAGATTCCAGTTCTTTGCCCCATTACATCCACCACATTACACTGACTCCCCTCCCATTTCCAGGGAAGGAAAACATTTGATTTCAAGAAACATGTAAGACTTATGATTAGCACTGCAGGTCCCTCCACATACCAACAATGATAACCAGGCAAGATGGCCAGGAGACTCAATTCCAGTCCATTGAGTGACCTCAGTTAATTTGATTCAAAAAGTCTGATCTTCTGATGTGTGCAAGGTGCTATGTTAAACTCCATGACTGATGTTTCTGACAGTACATAAAACATAGGACAGGGTTACTGTCTTCTAAGAGTGCACAAGTGTGGCAGGGCACCCACAATACAGGTAAGATGCTCTGATACATGGCAGCTCCTGACCGGAGCCCTAGAGGTACCAGCCTTTAGAAGAACACAGAGGAATATCACTATGATTGAATCTCAGACACTGGCTGACCAATGGGATTCAGAAGCAAGTCATGTTCCCAATTTATGGAAATAGAAAAACATTCCAAGTCAAGGCAAGATATTTTCTCAGCTCTCCTCTCCAAAATTCCACCACTTTAAGTTTTCATTGATTTGACAAATGTGGACCACTTATGTATTAGGTCTTGTTCTAGGCTTACAGCCAGTAATAGCGAACAAAGCATGGCTTGTCCTCAGGTGCCTACATTTAGTTCATAGGGAGCCATGGACAAATACACGGGTAATTAGACTACTGTGTGAGAAGGATGTCATAAACCTCCCCAGTCCATTCCCTATTTGCTTCAAAGTAGAAAGAGGAAAGATGAATGAATCATCTAATGGGCATAATCCAGAGTCAAAGTTAGAAAGACATTAGTGTGGCTCTTCCCTCAGCTTGTGGTCCTGGCTGGAGGAGTTTACAGGTGGCTAAGAAGAGGTGAAATGAAGAGAATCACAGGGAGCAAAGATAAGCAGGTAGGCCTTTGGCATCGGTGACAAAGTTGCACAATGCTTTTCCCAAGCCCTTCCCACTGCCCTGAATGCTGTAGTGGGAAGAGCTCTGGTCTAAAATCCAGGAGCTATCAAGTCCAGCCTTCTGCTACTCTCTAGAGTCTTACCCTTCACTTCCTTGTCCCATGTGGGAAATGGAAATAAATCACACTGCCTCTGCATTCCTCCAGAGTTTTGGAGCAGCAAGTGAAGGTGTTTAACTTATAAAAATAGCTAACTATATAATGCCACATGCATCACTGACATTACATTATTACCATTACTGACCACATCTTGTGCTGAGTTGGACTCTTCTCTCCTGGGCCATCCAAGACTTATGGCTTCCACAAGTACCTTCCAAATGGAGAAACTGCAGTAGCTACGTTTCTTTCCAGCATCCCCATTAAATTATATACCCAAACTAGGAATATTTGCTTCTTACACAGTACATGCATTATAATATGTGACCCAGTTGGGGTTAAGTGGTAAGAGCAATAAGACAAATTATTTAAGTAGCAGTTTGAAGTGTTCTTATAGAAGTACTGCTACTGTACAGAATTTGAAGCCCTACTTAAAATTTTATAATAGGATCTGGGGATATAGTGCAGTGGTAGAGTGTTTGCCTAGCATGCTGGGAGTGGGGGTTCAATCCTTGCACTTCAAAAAAACTTACATAGGAACCTGTTACTTGAACCTTCATCAGTTGTGTCCTCTGTGAAACTCAGCATAGCTTTGATGTCTTGCTCCCCATGGATCCCCTTCATGATGGAAATACAGGCCATTAGACAAAGCCCACAGCATTCTGGAGTAGCTTCTACACTAGAGCCCTTTTGACTGAATAGGAGCAGGGTAGGAGAAAGTATTGAGATCTGAGTTTATTGGAGGCTGGTCATTAACATCCATCAAACACTACATCAAACATGTCATTTAATTCTATCTCCCCTACTGAATGGCCCACTGAGGGTAGAGAGCATGTCATCTTGCTCCCTGCTTAGTACCGCAGCCTGGACAAGGGTCAGCTCAGTAAATCATCAAATAAATTGAGGCTTTGGATCAAACAACCCTTCCAGGATAGCATCCCCAATTTACAGACAAAACCAAAGCCCACTTGCTTAAGAATGTTGTCCAAGGCCAGAGAATATGTCTGGCCTGGGGTTGGGACACTGCTCTGCCTGCTCCCAAAGTCCAGACCTTCTGTTGCACGCATGCTGCTAAGAATGCCCTCTGTCAGAGGCTGTAGATTATACCGTTTCTTAACCATTTCCCCAGAAGTTTGCATTCCTTCTGTGTTTGCAAGCAAGCTATAGCCTAATAGTATTAGTCATTTACCCATAACTAATTATTTTATCTATCTTTTGGTCCTATCTTGAGATTCTATCTATGAGCCAGTCCTAAATTCTTGGGGAACCTGAAATGAGGCCAAAGGTCAAATATTCATTCACCAAAATGCCTTAAATGCACGTCCTGGGTGAGGGCAATGTGGCACAAAGATGAACACCAGATAGCTCCTCTCTGCAAAGGAGTTGCAGTCTAGTAAGTCTGGATGGCATCTTTTATTTTTCCTTTAAAAAAATTAACAAAGTGAAACATATTGATTGTAGAATATTTGGAAAGCCCAAGTAAGAAAAGAAAGAAAAAAAATCACCCAAAATTCAGCTTATGTTTTGTATGTTCTGAGGGCAGGGCCTGTGCCTCAGTATTTCTGTATCCACAAAACTGCATACAGGAATTAGTGAGAGCATGAGCTCGGTCAGCATTTTTTGAGTGGAAAGAGCCAAACTTCATGCCCCTACTCTGAGACAACCACTGTTAAAGGTTACAAAATATTCTCAGCTGCCTTTTGTTGTCAAGTGACTGACCCAGATGTGATTCTCCTGCCTTACTTGCACCAGGCTGATAAATGCCTGGCCTTTTTAAGCATGGTGCTGCTTACCAGGTTCATTGGTTGTTTACTTGCTCAATTAGAGCAGCCTTTTACATTCCTCCCCCTGCCATGGTCCAGAGGATTCCCTTAGGTGAGAGAAAAGCAGGAGCTTTTTCCAAATTCCACTTTGCATTCCCCACCACCAGCACTGCATAAAGGCCAGAAGTTAGTTGGTTTATCAATCAGTTGCCTCACATAGAACAAAACTTCCAGCAGTCCTGAGTCAGGGTGCATGTACAGTCATGTGCAGAAGCTTTCAAAACTGATGCTGGGCCCATTCACACCAACAAAACAGACATTGGAGAAAAAAAAAAAAAGCAGAAAAGAAAAGAGACTGTCTTGGCATGAGGCCCAGACATTGGTCTCTTTGTGTTAAAGCTGCCCTGGTTGGGGATTGAGAAGCATTGATTTGTACAATAATGTCAGTCCCTTTTGAGACTAGCAGAAGGCACTGCAGTGGCCAGAGCTGGAACATTCAGCCCTAGAACTTAGCACAGCAAATTTCTGCAGCCCACTTCGTGATATACCTGAGTGGTGTAAGTGGGCAATTATTTGCAAAGGGAAACCCAAAGAAGGAAAGAATATCTGTCTTCCAAAGGACTCACCCAGATCCCTCCAAAGAGAACTCAGAGAAGCCAGGCACATTCATGTTGACAGGAAAAGACACAGGGACATGAGTGTGAAGGCCCACCTAGGCTATTCTGCAAGGGACATGAGTTTTCAGGCTTCACTATGAAGGAAGGAGAATTTTGCAAGATGAACTATGAGAAACAAGCCACTTTAACAATAGGCTACTTAGCAGATGGTTGAATTAGATAATCTTTATTGAATAGGTATTGAGAAATCATTATTTGTCCAGCATTGTGCTAAGCACTTGTATGCATATTTCATTTTTGTGATATTTATCCTGTGTTATGGTGGAGGAAATTGCTGTTAATTGGTGTTAGTTAAATAGCATACAATCCCACTAAACAGGATGGGTACCCTCTAACTCTTAGACTCCAAAGTCCATCCATTTTCCACCATGCCAGGTTTTGTGGCATGGACTTGTCCTGGCCTGATTAGAGGTAATATAAAGGATGGGGCAGGGGGAAGATACCAAAGTGACCATCCTCTCAAGGAGGGGTAATTTCCAGAATGGCTAGTCGGCTAGAAAGTTCTCCCTTGTATGAAAGAACTTGGTTGCCCTGCAGTGGACAGCATGGTGTGCACAGGGAGTGCCAGCCGTTTCTCCTCGAGCCAGCTGTGGGCCTGGGCAAGCCACTTAGAGGGCCTGCATCGCTGCCTGCTCACCTATGCGGCACAACTGTCACAGCAGTGGTTTCAAACTGCCCTACAGAGACCTGGGCTACAAGAGGTTGTGTGGGGACAGGATGGACAGATCAACTTCTTTTTTCCATTCAGCCAGAGAAGCCCTGCATTCAGCTGCTTGAAAGGAAGTTTCCTCTGCTGGGGGAAGGGGTGGGGGTGGAACAAAGACATTTGGAAGGAAACTCTTGGGTGAGCTCACTTTGGTGACCCTTCCAGTTTGATAGGGCTCAGGTCCTGTGTTTTTGAAAATTTGTCACTGGGAAGAAACAGTGCCAGAACATTGCTTAGGTGCATGCTGAATGGCAGGGGAGAGGGGATTGTGTGGGACAGGAGAAAGGGCAGCTGAGAAGAGGGAGGAAGAAGGGTCCCTGCAGGTAGCAGACAGCCAAGGGACAATAACTTTGCAGAGCCAACCGCAATAGACAGAAAAGTACCCAAGTGCCTCTGTGTTGGAGAGGAATTTGTAACCGTGACAGGAGAGCATCACAGCAAGGGGGCAGGTGGGGCTCCAGGTTCGTCTCCTCAGTGGTACTTTCTTTGTATTCAGTGGGGTAAAAGACTCTTGTTCTCTCGTAGTTGCCTAGCATTCAAGCAATTTTCTGTTTCTTTGTATTTTTCAGATCTTAAATCCAAATTTCATCCAAGAAGGTGAGTTATGAAGGGGTAGAATTGAGAATGCAGGGATTGGTTAAATATATTAGGTATTTCTAGCATTCAGGTAGAGACTTTGAGGAATGGTGATGTACTTCCATATTTATGAATAAGGAAAGATGTTTATGATAAACTATTCAGTGAAAAAGACTGACAGGCAATATGTTTAAGGGGATTCAATTTTGGTAAGAAGTATGTTTGTATAATGTTCACAGTAGTTATCTCTGGATCATGGAGCTTTCCTCCCTTGTTTTTATATATTTTCTAATTTTTATACAATAAGCATTTAATGTACTGTGCAAAGGGACCCAGATGTCTCAACAGTATTAGGCTGAAGGTTGCTTGAATTGCTATACAGCATGAATGAGAATGAGAATACAATATTTTTTAAAATGCTGTTTTATCCTAAGTGGATTACAAATGATATAAGTGTATATCAATTTGATCCCAGTGGCCCCAGAATTCCTCATGCCCTTAGTGGACGTGACCTGCTTGCTCGGGGACACAGTGATACTGCAGTGCAAAGTCTGTGGGCGGCCAAAGCCCACCATCACCTGGAAGGGTCCAGACCAGAACATCCTGGACACTGACAACAACTCGGCCTCATACAGTGTCTCCTCCTGGTAAGCTGATGGCCAGTGCAGCATCCAGGGGCTAATGCCAGGCTGCAGCCTCTGTGTGGATTACGAGTCTCTCGAACAGCTGCCCTGAGGCCTATTTTAGACCAAGCACTTGGCCTTGATCAGGAAATTGAGATAAAAACCCCGGGTGGCTCAGCCTCCCAGATGAGCACTTTGTGCTGTGAGACTTAGCAGTGGGCTCAGCTGCCCACAGTGCATCCAGGCCCCCAGCCTGAGCCTCTGGGTGCTGTCAGCCCACACCGCTAATGTAGCTGGCACCCTGTACACACACTGGGGCCAGCAAGAACTGTTTGGGAAGACTGCCCTCTGAACTGTGTAAAACAAAGAAAAGCACAAACTTTTATATGTCAGGTCAAGCATGAGCCTTCACAGTCCCTGTCTTGGTCACTCTGTTGGATGATTTGTCCATAAGGATCCCCTGGGGAAATCTCTAAGTCAGTAGAAGAAGTGAAGGCTCCAGACCTGGGGTAGGAATGTGGTCCTTCAGTCTGGACACCCTGATGTGTTATGGGCCCTTCAAGATGCTGTGAAACCAATACAGTTAATTTCTGACCCAAGAACAGTTTTATAAGAAGAGGGGAAAAAAGACTCATTCTAAAATGTTCAATAGGAAATCAAGCCACAGGCGTACTTCTACACAAAAAAGACCATTTGACCAGACTTGATTGACTGCCTCCCAGTCATTCTGTTAACTCTTATTGTTACTAATCATGAGCTTTGTTGCGTTTGCTGCTTTCAGTGGACAAGCACCAGCAAGTCTTAACCATGTAGGACTCGCTTAGGGAAGGAATACCTAAAAGCAAGAAACATTCATCCATTAACTTTACATCTGTGTGTGTGTGAAATAGAGAAAAATACCATCATACCTTGGTGTTCCCAGCATAGACTCCCAACCAGGTCAAAAAACATTGTGGGGGGCTGGGGTTTTAGCTTAGTGGTTCCAGCACCTGCCTTGCAAGCGCAAGGTCCTGAGTTCGATCCCCGGTACAAAAAAAAAAGGAAAAAAACATTGTGGGTCCAAAGAACTTGGTGTGAGAGTCTGTGCTTTATAGGGATCATGAAAAGCCCAGGATAGGTCACAATCCTGGGAATGAGGAGGGCTGATCTGGCTTCTGATTAACCCTTTCAGAGCAATTCTTCCTTTGGGATGCTCCTGGACCCCACACTGGGCCAAGGGGGGCGGGGCGTTAACATGTAGGTGAAGGAATTTACCTTTTCATAATTCACTTAAGTATTTTGAGGTAGAATTTGAAATACTTAAATATTTTCATTCTTTAGTCTTCCCATATTTTTGTACTATTCATTATCAATTTGTGTGGCTGAAAATAATTTAGGACAAAGTTGCTAGTGGCAATATATAACATTAATTATATTATGAACTGGTACTTGTATAGGACTTTATATATTTCTAATCATCTTTTCTTTTCTATCTTATGTTATTCCTTATTCTATCCCTCATTTCCACAAATTTTATCCACATATTAGGCAATGGGGATATTGAGACAGAATGATCACCCAGGGTGTGGAGGTTGGCCACAGAACAAGGTAGCCTTTGGGCCTACGGGCTCTCAGCTCGGCACACTATGTAGTAATCCTATGGAATTTTACCCATCATTACCGGAGTCAGAAGGACATTCTTTGTGTCTCTAGTGACTCTGGGGAAATCACCCTGAAGATCTGCAATCTGATGCCTCAGGACAGTGGGATTTATACCTGCATAGCCACAAATGACCATGGGACCACATCCACATCTGCTACAGTCAAGGTGCAAGGTACAGTCTCTTTCTTTCCTTATACTACTTCTAGGCATTTTTAAAAAGACAACATAATACTTACCATCTTACCATTTTTAAGCAGTTCAGTGGAAGTACCTTCATATTTTGCATTGCCTGACATCCATCCATCCATCCATCCATAGAACTCTTTTCATCTTCCAAACTGAAACTCCATCCATGTCCTTTCATTAGTAACTCCCCATTCCTCCCTCCTTGCAGTCCTGGCCACCACCATTCTGCTTTCTGCCTCTAGGAATTTATGTTAGTCAAACATTTTAAGTGAACATGATCAAGGCTCCCTGAGACCAGGGGAAGAAATGATTCTGTGTGAAAATTCCAAAATAAATTCTCGGGGAAGAGAATGCATCTTTAATCTTTGCTAAGAGCTGTCTGCCAACTACCACAGCCTCCTTCGTGATTCCCTGACCATGCTTCCTTCCTAGTATGCAGTGTTTACTCCAAGGAGGAGCAGCAGGCCACAGGGGGCGTCCCAAGTCTCCCTTGGGCCCAGAGAAAGGTGTCCTCCTGGTGGACATCACAGGGAGCATTTGAGACTCAGATTAGGTAACATTTCCGAGGTGACATTCAACCTTGGTGGAAAATGCCAGCTTCTGCAGAAGCAGCCCTGACTCCTCCTGTCTGTCTCCACAGGTGTTCCTGCAGCTCCCAACCGCCCCATCGCCCAGGAGAGGAGCTGCACCTCTGTGATTCTCCGCTGGCTGCCCCCAGCCAGCACGGGGAACTGCACCATCTCAGGATATACCGTGGAGTACCGGGAGGAAGGTGTGCAACCTGTTCTTCTGTCTTCACTTTCTCCTGGGTGACCCTTTAGGGACAGGAGCCTGAGCCTCCTTATCTCTGGTGTCTTCCAACTCAGCACAGAGGCCTCTGGGCCAGGCTCCAGTTGCCTTCTACCTGCAAGCTTGGGCAACGGTTTCACTAAGGAGCCTTAAACCTCCCTGACATGATCTCAATCCGAGGTGGGGTTCAAAGTGACTTTACCGCATTGCTCTGCTTACCCTATCCAGACAGGTCAAGCCCATTTTTTAGATAAGGAGCCTGAGTCCTAAAGATAGAAACACAAGATTGTGGTTAGTAAGGGGCAGAGCTAGCGCAAGAACCCAGCTCTCTATAGTTTACTAATTTGTGATCTTTCTCCCAGAGTAATAATTGGGGTAGTGTGATCTGAACACCACCCCTCTGCCCCCAGGTAAAATTCATACAGATATATATGCATGTATATTTTAATTGCACAATTTAAAATTTTGTGGTTTAAGCTTTTAAAATGTGTTACATTTACATGCTAAAAGTGCATATATTTCTTCAGTAGTTGGAAACAACTGAATCTGCCATCTAGTTGTCCAGGATTGGTTTTTAAAAGAAGCTTCCAGGTAGCTTTAATTGTTAACATATTTCTGAACCACATTATGAATTGAACAATCAAATAGAAACTGCTTGCCCCCTCCCCAGCCCAAATCAGCCCCTCTTCTCCACTTTCTCTGGTTATTTTGAGACTTCTGTCTTCTTAACTGAGCAGGCCCTGTACAGGTACAAAGCCATTTATTTTGGCATCTTTCCTAGGCCATTCACACAGGTTAACACAAGGGTGACCGCTGAGCTGGGAGACACCGTTCACAGAGGTCACATGTGTCAGCAGCACTCGGTTATAGTCCCTCTCAGTAACTAAGTTCTCTTGGGCAGATTGTTTAGTATTTCTGAGGCTCGGTTTCTTTTATGCTCTTACCTCATCAGATTTTTGTGGTTTTAAGTGAGAGAATTCAATGAGAGAATTGTAATGCAGACACCTGCCATAGTATGCTACATATACCTAGTGCTCATTTCCATTTTGCTTCAATTTCAAAAGGGATATTTTCTCCCATTTTGTTATTGATTTATAATATTTTCCTCCAGCTTAATTAACCCTTTACCACTGTAAAGTCGGTATTATCTGTCTTTTCATTCGCACGCCTGCACATTTGAGAGGAGACAGACTCCACCAGCCAACTTCTTCCACAACCATCAACATTTCTTGAGTCATTTAGAAACCCAGACCCACACCTGCCGTGGCTGTCCCACAGGCTTCCAGAGGCCGGATGCAGTGACCTCAACTGTCCATTGAATCGAATTTATCCATTTTCCTTTCTTTGTTAGCTGAAGGTCTTTGAAACAATGTAGCTTTGGCTTTGTCTCTCTTCTGTCCTCCAACACTGTGCCCTAGGTTCCCAGGTCTGGCAGCAGTCGGTGGCTTCGACCTTGGACACTTACCTCGTCATCGAAGACCTTAGTCCTGGGTGTCCTTATCAGTTCAGAGTCAGTGCCAGCAACCCTTGGGGAATCAGCCTTCCCAGCGAACCCTCGGAGTTTGTGCGACTTCCAGAGTATGGTGAGTCCCAGGCAGGCTATGAGGGTGAGGTGCCTGGCCCACTTACATGGACTTACTGGCATTGTCAGGCCACTGTGAGAAAGGTGACCTGGAGCTGCTTGTTCAGTCAAGCAACCTTTCAGTGTTGGTGAAGGGTGAAGGGTTCCGTCAAGTGTGACTCTGAGTGTCTTGGGGCAGAGGTTAGGTCTGCCACCCTGGCTAATCCTGTGCCTCCAGGGCTCCCAGGAGGACCAGGTCTCACTCCGGGAATGTAGAGGGAGTCACAACCCATGGGGGTTCCATGTGCTCCCCTCAGAGATAGAATGACAAGCCCACTCTCACCGGGGCACCTCTGCAGGCAGCCATGCTCCCTATAGCATCTGGGACGGTCCCACTTGCCAGCTGCAAACAAAGAGAGAACAGCAACCTGGCTGAATGATTTCTTATAAGACAAATATTTGATACCCACATACCCTCTTGGAATTTGTTTTGTCAACGTGGAATATTTTTATATAGGTTTGTTGAGAAATTAACTAAGATATACTTATAACTAGCTGAACATGACTATTTTACAAATATGGTTTTTATTTTGCCCACCTTAGTTCCAGGGGCATTTTAAAAGAAGAAATTTGGTAGCCTAAAGAAATATCCTAATATTAGTGATATTTCAGGCAGTGCAAGGAAGTGGCCTGTGTGTGTTGCGGATAGGAGGGTGGGGTTGTCACCGCACTTACATGGCATAGGCTATGGCTCTTTGGACTAAAGGAAGTCTGGAGTCCCCAGAGGGCCTTGGGCCATATCCCTTTCCCAGATGCATTAGGAAATGTCCTCTGCCCCTCCCCCACTGCCAGCCTAGTCACTTCCCTCCCAGTGACTCTGACTTGTTCCCATGAGCCTGTGCCTCACTGGGAAGCCATGGCCCTGGGTCTCTGTGTCCTCAGAATTCAACATGGTAAGCCACCTTCTGCCTCAGCCAGGCTTTGGTCTGGGCAGCCTGAGGTGATCAATATGAGATCACATGAGCCAACCTGCTACTGTGGCTCCTCTCTTGCCAAGCTCCTAACTGAGTTGGCCCAAGAGGAGCACAGTTTATATCTTGCTGTGACCCTGCAGCATTGGTCCCTACCACACAAATACATACTGACCTGCGTACTTGTCTGTGTGTGTGCGTGTGTGTGTGTGTGTGTGTGCGTGTGCGTGCGTGTATGCGTGTGTGTGTGTATCTTACCATCATACGAGGTAAAGCTGACAGAGAATCACTGTGGATTAAGTAACCATTCAACACACTGGATCAGCTCCTGCCAGCCTGAGGCCAGGCCGGGTCAGAGAAGTCCCTGGAGCCCCTGAGCACTCCTCATCCTCTCCTTCCTTGAGCCTGTGCCTTTCTCATCTTCTCCTTGCACTCTCCCTACATCCCTGGTTCTCACTGGCTTTTCTAGGCCTTCAAAGTGTTTTCTAATTTTAAGCCATCCAGGAGCTACATCTCTAATTGTCCCCAGTTCTCCTCTTGTGTAGGGAGATGACAGAGGGACTCTGTCATGTCAGTTTTCCCTCAAATGATATTTTAAAAATAACTTGCTGGAGAATCAGGGCACTTTCCCACTGATGTAGCCTCCATATTTGGGTGTGAGCATGGCTTTGTGGTTACGCCAGAGCTCTCTGTTAACCTTTCCTTTATTCCCATGTGAAATCCTCAATGTCGTCAATGGGTTCTCTGTCTCCCAAAGATGCGGCTGCTGATGGAGCCACCATTTCTTGGAAGGAAAATTTTGACTCTGCTTATACTGAGCTGAATGAGATTGGAAGGTAAGGATAGTTTTCTGTGAACACCTAGCAACGTGACTAGAGAAGAATGACCTGTTTTTGTTGTTGTTTCTTTCTTCTATAAATGCATTCTCTCTATAGGAAGAAAACACCTAGAATATTTGTGCATGTTTTCTGCTGTTCTTTTTTACTTAAATTGGATACTTCCCTTGTCCATTCTCAGCCCCTCTTCCTTTATTTATTTATGTGTTTGTTTGTTTATTTATTTATTTATTTAGATAGGTCTCACTATGTAGTCCAGGCTGACCTTGAACTCACAATATAGCACAGGCTGGCCTGAAACTCACAGCAATTCTATACCCTCAGCCTCCTGAGTGTTGGGATTACAGGGGTGCACCACCATGCATGGCCAATTCCTTTCTAATATAAGAACTTTCAGCCTCAAGTTCTTTTAAGTACAATTTTTATTACATTTCCCAAGTTTTGGCCTTTTCAGTATTCTATTCTCTTTTTTTTTTCTTTTTCAACTGACCCAATTATATTGGGAAAAAATGTTTTAATAAGTATGAGTTTGGGGTTTTGGTTTTGGTTTCAGTTTTTTAGACAGGGTCTCACTATGTACTTTAGGCTGGCCTTGAACATATTATGTAGTCCAGACTGGTCTCAAACTCATGGCAATCCTCCTGCCTCACCCTCAGCTAGGATTATATATATATATATATATATATATATATAATGCTAGGATTATAGGCAAGTGCCACCATGTCTGGCTCTACTTATAAGATTTTTTTTTAATTACCTTTTGTTAGTGATTTCTAACTTAACTGCATTTTGGTCACAGAACTTAGTTCGTCTATGTGTCTTATTTATTTCACTTAAAATTATGGTCTCAAGGTGCATCCATTTACCTACAAGTGACTCAAGTTTATTCTTTATAGTACTACACTGTATATAAGTACCACATTTTCTTTATTCATAGGCTGTTTCCAAGATTTAGCCATTATAAATTGTGCTGCTATAAATATGAGTATGCATATATCTCTGTGGTATGATGTTTTTAACTCTTTCAGGAAGATGCTTAGAAGGTAAATAGCTGAGTCAAATGAAACCTCTAGTTTTAGTTTTTCAGGAATCTTCACACTGATTTCCACAGTGGCTGAACCAATTTACACTCCCACCAACAGTAGAGAAGGATTTATTTTTCCCCCACAGCCTTGCCAGCATTTGTTATTGGTTGATTTCTTGAGAACAGCCATTCTTTTTGGAGTGAGATGGAATCTTAGCATTGTTTTAATTTGCGTTTTTCGAGTGACCGGTGATGTTGAACATTTTTTCATGTATTTATTTGCTGTTTGTACTTCTTCATCTGAGAAGTGTCTATTCATTTCAAATATCCATTTTGGGTAGGGTGAATTGAGACCATTTACAATGATGATTATAACTGGTATGTATTGACGTATCTTTGTCATATTATTTTCCTGTTGTTGTTCCCTTACTTTCCCCTCTGTTTAACTGCTTGCCTTGCCTGGATTCATTCTACTGGGGCTCATGAAATTGTAATCTTCATTGTCTCTTTCTAGAATATCCTTCAGAATTTTTGGAGTGTTGGTTTGGTGGTCATGAACTTCTTCAGGAGTTCTTTTTTTTTTTTTGGTCTGGTACCAGGGATCGAACTCAGGACCTTGCACTTGCGAGGCAGGCGCACTGACACTGAGCTAAATCCCTGGCCCTCTTCAGGTGTTCTTTATCACAGAAGTATGATTTCTCCATGAACTTTGAAAGATAACTTTGTGGAATACATCAAACTAGGTTAGAGGTGGTTTTCTTTTAGAGCTTGAAATGCATCACTCCAAGCTCTCCTTGACTTAAGAGTTTGCATTGAGAAGTCTGCTGTGATTCTGATGGGCTTTCCTTTTAGGTGATTTGTCTCTTTTCTCTAACAGCTTTTAATAGTCTTGTGTTGAATTTCTGGAATCTTGACTATTATATGCCATGGTGTAGTTTTTCTGATCATGGCTAATTGGAGTTCTGTATACCTCACTTATCTGTATGCCAAGTTCTTTTTCCATGCTTAGGAAGTTTTCTGCAATTACTTCTGTGAACAGGTTTTTTATGCCCTTTGTGCTATCTCTGATTTTGTATTGATTCCTATCAATCTTATATTCTTCTTCTTTGCCTCATTTAGCAGGCATTGGATTGATTTGTCATGGTCTCTAGCTATTTTTAAGAAGTTTTTCATTTGATGATCACTAATCACAAACATGTCTTTAGATCTAATATTATATTCTGTCATCACATTGGTTGATTCTGCTGTGTATACTTTCAATGGAATTTTTTTTCTTCTTTTGGTACTGGGGATTGAACTCAGGACCTTGTGTTTGCGAGGCAGGTGCTGGAACCACTGAGCTAAATCCTTGGCCCAAATGGAATTTTTTTTCCTAGTACTGAGGATCGAACTCAGGACCTTGTGCTTGCAAAGGAGGCATGGTACCACTAAGCTAAATCCCCGGCCCTTTCAATAGAATTTTTAATTTCCTGGATATCTGTTCCATAGAATCCAGTTCTTTCCTATGCTGGGAATTCATGGTTTCCATCACTTTCCTGAGCTCTATTTTTTTTTTTATCTGTATCTATTCAGGCTTCACTATGTCTTTCATTATATTCATCATCTCTTTAATTATCTGTGTAATTATACCCATTTTTTTTTTAGAGATTCATTTATCTGCTTTGTTACTCCCACTGCTACCATTTCAGAAAGTGCAGCTGGGAAGCTTTTGATTTCTTACACCTCAATGCCCCCTGCATTTGCCTTGGGCAAACTAGAGGTCTGGGGTTGCATTTTGCTTCCATGTGTTCTCATTTTGTATTCTGGAGGGTTTTTTTGTATTTGTTTTCTGCACTGATGCTTGTAAATTGCTTATGTTAGGTAGCTTTATCACTAGTATCAAGACCTCTTGAGGAAATGACTACTTTTCAGAGATGTCTTGTAGGCCTATCTGGCTCTTGGCCTTTGAGTCTGTCCAGGATCCTGCTTCTTCTGACTATTAAGGATGAGAGGTTGGAGCCTATTTGGCCTAGCACCCAGTTCTTTGGTACTAGACTGCAGTATTGTTTATGTCCCCCAGACAATATAGGTATTGGCATACAAAGATCAATTGGTCACAACAACTGTATCAAGTTGTCTTAAGTAGTACAATAAATAATAACAATAGCATCAAACACAGACTAGAAGATGACAAACTGTGATAATTACTAATTTGCTACCTTTAGCCATAAACACAAGATTTATAGTTACATAACAAGATCTAAGACAAATCAGAAAATTATATACAGTAAATATCTACTCAATACAGCAATTTTACTCTAAGGGGAGAAAATTAAAAGGGAAAAGAGGAAAAAATATGGAAATAAAAGAAGAAAAAGAGATTAGAAGCAAGGCTGAAGGACAGAGGAAGATTACCCAAGCCTCAGGAAACTGGTGAAGAAGACAAAAGGGAAGAAAAAAATGAAAAAACAAAAACAGGGACAAAACAAAAATACCAACAATGTTTACCGTCACAAAGAAACAAAAACAAACAATCAGAGGGAGAAAAAACCCAAATGAGCAAAAACTTTAAAAAAGGAAAAAATAAAACCAAAATCAAAGAGAAGAAAAAAAGATGAAGTTTTTCTGTGATTTCAAGCCTTGGTTATCTTCTGGGGTCTATAGTTTTGTGACAGTGTCCAATTCAAGGTGTGACTCTCCTCTTGCTGACAGACAAGAAAGCCAGGTCTGTGCTTGAAAATCCCAGCTAATCAGCAGTAGGATTAGGGCATGGTGTTGGTTGTGGGACTTTCAAATCCACAGAAGTTCATGGAAGTCCCAACCCCTCTGGTCGTGGGGTTGGGACCTGAGCTTATAACACTCTGAGTGTCTCTTGCCAGCCTGCCCATGGCTCCCTGACCATAGATGTATCCCGTGATTGTCTCTCACCCAGTTACTGTGGGAGTTTAACAGTGGGATCCCTGAGATGGAGCTAACCTGAGGCTGCTCTGAGTCCCTCCCTAAAATGGCATCTGACCAAGCCTGTCTCCAGGGGACATGAATGAAGTCACTCACCAGCAGTTGTAGCTCACAGCATCCACTGCTCTGTTCCACTGGTGCATTTCTCCCTGAAGACCTCTGGAGTCACCCACTTTCACTGTGGCTCTGTAGATTCAGTCTTCCTATCTCACTTCATGAGCTGGGAGCTGGGAAGAAGATACAGGTTGTCCCTTCCTATTTCTGCTTTGTGGTCTATCTCTTCAGTTTCTCTGAGGGCTCCAATTTTCCCTTCAGGTCCTTCTTGGGTCCCACCTTTCTCCTTTCCTTCCCCAAGTTGTTATTTTCCAGTGTTTGGATTCCAAATCTTGGAGAGGCTGATTTGTTGCTGATTACCATTCCATCATCTTCCCTGAGGTCCAAGTCTATGTGATATTGATTGCTTGATTTTTATTCAACCTTGCTTGATGGGTAGAACATGATCAATTTTTATTAAAAAGTTCCATGTGTTCTTAAAAGAAATATATAATCATTAATATTGGTATAGGTCTTTATATATGTCCCTGTGTCAAGCACATTAGGTTTTTTGTTGTTGTTTTCATTTGTTTATACTTTGGGGGGAGCAGGGTCTCAGTATGCAATTCTGGCTAGTTTCAAACTCACTATGTAGCCCAGGCTGGCCTTGAACTCAAGAAAATCCTCCTGCCTCAACCTCCTAAGTGCTGGGATTACAGGCATGAGCCACCACACCCGGTGCAAGCACATTGTTTTATGTATATTTCTAGTACAGATACCTCCCCACATACATTCCCCCCACTCTGTATTTTAGTTAAAAAACCATTTCATATGTTCTCAGAAATAGGACAAAATATTATTTTTAACGAAACAATGAAAATATCTGGCCTACAAAATGGGAAAAGAAAAAAAGAGGCTCTCACTGTGCTTGCTTTGGTCTCATTGCCTGGGTGAGAGTGTATGGGTAGATTTTACAAACTGCCACCCTCCCAGATGTGTGCATGAA